ACGTTGGTGGCAACAAGTTGTTATGATATTTGTATATGAAAAGAACCACGTGTAGATTTAGAAGATCAGTCAACTTAATAATATTCAACTGTTTGAAAAGTGAGCTAGAGTGGGCATCAAATTTAGAGAAAGTTATAACACGCACAACCTTTTTTTGGAGTATAATTAAAGGTTTGACAGTTGAGGAATAAACATTACCCCATATGATTAAACCATATGTTATAAAAGGGTAAATTAAAGCATAATATAAATTAACCAGAATGTTGCTATCTACATAATATCTAAGTTTAGACAAAATTCCTATACTTCTTTTAATCTTTTTTGAAATGAACGTAATTTGTTTTTTCCAAGTTAAATGAGAATTGAAATGAGAATTGAAGCCGGGAATGCTGGTAGTCATTAGTTAAACTCTTCATCCTGTAAATAGTATCTTCTTATAGTCTACTTCTTAAATATTTTGATATGTTACATTGTTACGTTATACTTATAGTTAAGCTTTAGCAATACCTGTAAAATATATCATGCTAATAAAGCGATTATCAATATGGCCAGAATAGATGAGTCACCATTTAGATGAGTCACCATCACTTATTGTTTAAAAACATTCATGAAAATTGTGTTTCGTGTCAATCCAAATGCAAAATGCAATTTCTATCACGATCGCTATTATGAATTTTGTTTATATTATTGTGTTCACATTACATATATTTAACTTTTGAAGTGGGGTCCAAATCCGCCAACGCCGGGGGTCCATATCCACTAGTAGATTTGGATCTGGGGACCCAAATCTACTAGTAGATCCAAACGAGGATCCAAATCAACTGGGACACCGGGCTCGGCTGCGACACTTGTGACTTGGATGACCAAAACATTTCAGTGCCGTCCTTCCTTTTCGGTGGCAAATGCTCAAAAACATACCTTTAAGAAAACGAGATCTTCACAGCAAAAATCGCAATATACTTCAACAGTTTTTAATCGAACGTCGCGTTGCTCTGGGCGCGTTAATTAAGGGCGCGTATCAGAGGCGTATAAAATATCTTGAATAATAATACGGCATCAAGGCGCGCGTTGCATTTCGGGATGACCTCATTCCTTGCAGGCTTGCAAACAATATAAATAATGGCGTGCATAAGGTCGACAACAGTTTTCTGCGTTTTATTTCTTGCTCTTTACGCCGTGTTTTCCCAAGTAGAAGCGAATGAGTGCTCTTCTGACTCTGGATGTGGTTACTTAAAGTATTGCTGTGAAAGAAAATATCCCAGTTACGACAATATATGTCTGAACAATTGCATTGGTCAATCTTGTACTATCGACGGCAACTGTGCACCGGGTGAAACTTGTTGTGGTGTTGATAAGAAATGTGGCACAACTTGCATTGGAGAATCGTGTTACCGTGATAGCAACTGTGCAACGGGTGAAACTTGTTGTGATTATGATACGAAATGTGCCACAACTTGTACTGGAAAATCGTGTTACTATGATAGCCAATGTGCAACGGGCCAAACTTGTTGTGGTTCTGATAAGAAATGTGCGACAACTTGTATTGGAAAATCATGTAGCTACAGTGTCCACTGTGCAACGGGTGAATCTTGTTGTGATGCTGATAAGAAATGTGCCACAACTTGTATTGGAAAATCGTGTGACTATGATGGCGACTGTGCAACGGGTGAATCTTGTTGTGATTCTGATAAGAAATGTGCCACAACTTGTATTGGAAAATCGTGTGACTATAATGGCGACTGTGCAACAGGCGAAACTTGTTGTAATTCTGATAAGAAATGTGCGACAACTTGTATTGGAAAATCATGTGACTACAGTCACCACTGTGCTACTGGAGAATGTTGCAATTCTGATGATAAATGTGACACAGATTGCAGTGTTGTGATTAAAGGTCTAGCTGGTTGGATTGTTGCAGTGATTGTTATCAGTGTTATTGTTGTTATCGTCATACCTATTGCAGTTGTCATCTTTTGCTGTTTTTGTGCGGCTGGTGCGGCAGCAGCCTCAAGACGTCCTGCTCATGGTGGTGTTGTATTAACACAACCTACAACCACAGGAAATACAGTCTTTGCAACCCAGCAACAACAACAACAATTCGCTGCACAACAAGGACAACCAATGTATTTCCAAAACTCTCAACCATATCCAAACCAACCCCCACCAGAATATCAACCTCAAGGGACAGTGTATCCAC